GGTCGAGGCTCAACCCCTGAGCCACACCAGCTGGGCCAGTTTAATACTTTTTTCAGTTAAAGGTCAGAGAGACTTGAGAGTAAATTTAGGCAGCTAATTTAACTTCCCAGATGCTCATTTTCCTCAGCTCTCTAATGGAGACAACGTACACCAAAGACACAGAACTATTACCAGCTTTTGAAAATTAAGCATGCACAATGATTAATGCAGTATACATCGTCAGCACTCAATAATGGCAGCTGTCATCATCATCATTTTAACGAATTATTCTGAAAAGCTCTGTTCAATTCTATTAATTTACTTAGTGTTGCATAATTACAACTGGTCCACTTGGGTGATATTCAGCTGGCTGGGTACAAACAGGAGGCTTTGCACAAATAAACAATGTTAGGCGCACAGAGGTTCATACACACGGTTATAGTTAAAAGCAATCATGATGAACGCAATGACACGAATTGGGATTCTCATGGACGCGGGTTTGACGTGGTGTTCCCATGAGACTCCCGGACACCGTGCTCACGGAGGCTGAATGGATGTTCTATGTTCCCTCCATCAATAGGGACATGGAAATACCTTTACAAAGTGTGTACGTAGGCATACACCCCAGAGATTAATTGAGAGACATGGTTTATCTATTCTAACAAATGTAGGCTAAATTGCATTTTCCCTTTCTCCAGAACTATCAATAGTTCTCCTTCCTTCAGATTGAATACATAAATCAAAAGAACATAGTTCATGAACAAACTATGATTATGAAACTCCTGCGTTTCACCTATTGATTTCTAAAACTTTCTTTACCCGTTCATTTTTCCTTCATTGTATCAGATTCAAACTGCTTTTTTTTTAATGTCATTGTAACTAGAATCATCGGTGGCTCTCAAATTGGCAGTGTACCAAGGAGCCTTCAAAATAGCATAGGGAAGGCGAACACCCCACTGCTAACTCTTTTCTTGCTTCCACAATGGTAGGAAGCAAGATTTATCAGCTTTAATTTTAATAATTGTTTTTACTGCATTTCAGAGCTTAATTACTATAGGGTTACTGTACTAATGACTCTCTGATGATATTTGCCCTATAAAATGTGTGTCACTGGTGAAGGGAAAACAGGATTTTCTCAGGAAACTGAGGTTTTACTTTTAAATGATATGTAATTAAATGTAACACATTTCTAAGCTGTGTTTTTTTCCCCAGCCAGTTTATAATAAACTGCTCAGGTATGATCTCTTCTGTTATTTCAAACCATTTAAAAAAAAATAAAATCAAAAGAGATCTCTTTAGTACCTATAGCATGTGCTGATGCAATATAAAAACGAAACTTAAAAAATCTGCTAATACTATCAGTGTTCCCTGTTTGATAATAAAAAGAACTGAATTGATTTTTTCCAGTTTTAGGACAAAAAAATACGACATAACGAATTTCAGCCCGATATAATTTGGAATAGCCAATATATTAAACCCCAAAGTGAAATTTAAATTGGCAATCGTGTCAGATTGAAGTCCCTGAGTGAATATTAATTTAAAAAAGAATTATATTCCAGCAGGTAGAAGCTCCACCATGCAAATTCTTGAATAAAAGCTCTTGGATCCATGAGCATGGCGTCAGTACTTTTGGTTTAGGGAATCAGACCTCCAGTGCTCGGTACGCCTGGCTCTTCCTGGCTCCTCCTTCGCCCAGGATCTGATTATTTAAAAAGCACTTCTTGTTTCCAAATTTGGGAAATTAGAATTCTGATTTTACTGATAGAAAGCCAATACTCAGTGAACTGTCTGAGGTAAGGTGACAGGTCAGATCTGCCTATTAATTTTATGTCACTGTGTCTTTGTAAGTTAAATTCTGGCTTCTGAGCCAATTCCATGAGTAAAGATGTATGTTTTATTTTTTTTTACACACACACACACCATACAAATTAATTGATTTGTGGCCATATTGGAGGATGAGTAAAAGAAATGCATGCATATTAATTACAGAGTTGCGATTCGAAATTTGACTAAACTAGACTATCAGCTATGGCTTCCAAGGGCATGCCTAGCAACGATGCAAGTCTCTAATCCCCAAATCAAACAATTTTCATAGGCTTCACAGTAATGCAACAGTTAAGTTACATTTTCTATGAAAATATGTCCTTTGCAGTTATGCAGGGAAACCATCACAAGCTGCCTTTGCCCATGATCTTGGCCCTAAAACCTGCCCCCAAAATGTTTCCGTGTAAAGAGCAGACAGCAGGGTGAAGCAGAGAAACCATAAGCCGGACGTCAGCCGAGAGGCTGGGTGTCAGTCACACCCAGACACCCCCGCCCAGCAGCGTCCCGCACTGTGATAACCGCGCCTCCGCACCCCACAGCCCGCTTGCTGTCCTGCGCAGAACTCAGGAAGCCTCTTGCCATGTGCCCAGAGCAATCGTCTTATTATGTGAGTTCAGAAACCAAGTCAAGTGAATTGGTTAAAACTACACAGGACCAGGACCCAAACCAGAGCTCCCTGCTCCTAATCTCCTCCCACTACTTTTTCTAACAACATTTCAGGAACGAACACATTCCTTGTTCAATATCCATACAATGAATTACTGTGACTTTCACAATATCTTCAAAGTATTCAGACCGGCGTCCACCAAAGAAACCCTGTGCAGAGCTCCCCTTTAGAGTAAAGAAACGCTCTTTCATTTTTATTTGAATGAATGGAGATTAAAATAATGCTGGGGCCTGGCTGGTGTGGCTCAGTGGTTGAGCGTCAACCCTGCACCAAGAGGTCGCCGGTTCGATTCCCAGTCAGGGCACATGCCCAGGTTGTGGACCTGATCCCCAGTGGGGGGCATGCAGGAGGCGACCGATTGATGTTCTCTCTCATCGCTGTTTCTATCTTTCTCTCCCTCTCCCTTCCTTTCTCTTTAAAATCAATAAGAAAAAATATTTTAAATAATAACAACAACAATAATACTAGTAATAATAATGATGCTGTGTACCCCTGAATCTATCAATACACCCCAGATGAACCAATGACTGATCTGTGTGGTTTTTCTCATGTTTGTGACTGTTTAGTTCTGCAGTTTTGACATGAAGTGCAGAATGGAGAGGAAAAAAACTGACGTAAAAATAAAAAACTAGAAGACGTGTACAAATTGGAGAGGACAAGTTTTCTCTTGGTAGTCAAACAGTTATGGGGAAAAAAAGCGGTCTCATTAAATCATAAGTACTTTCACATTTTCTTGAAAGAAGGGTAAGATTTAAAGATTTATAAAGAAACGTTGCCTAAACCAGGCAAGGCCCCCCGTTTGACGTGGGTTGAGAAGATAATGCTGATGTCAATGGGCATTCTAAGAGCATGTGAGCCCCGGGAGAAGCATTCAGTCATGGTCACCTCTTTGCAAGTGGATTTCCAACATCCTCTGCAAAGCTTTTAATCTGCTGCTGCCTGCCAAAACACGGCGCAGGCCTGCAGATAAGGTAAAACAAGGCAAGTCAAAAGAACCCTTAAAAGTCATTGCTGATTCCAAAATACAAAAACATAGCGTGGCAACGGCTTCTGCTATTTCCATTCCTTTGGAAATCTCTCTTGGCTCGCTTTCGACATCCTAACTCAACGCTGTTGCACTAGTCAGTGGTAGAATGGAAAATTTCAGGATACGGGACAAATTAGGCCTCCACCTGCTAACTACTGAACAAATGAGAGGCACGTTCTGACAAATTGAACCCATCTGTTCTGTCGTCCTGGCCTGGTATCAGACACGGAGACCCCTTTGTAGGCCTTTTTAATGCCGGCAGCAAAGAAATATTGCTCCCTGCCGAGTGAATTTGCTCAACTTGTACCCAAAAGAAAAGCTGAGCAGATAAGGAGCAAAATGCTGATTGAATATCACTTTGCCAACACCTTCCTGTAGAAATCAACCAGTGTCACCTCCCTGCGTCGCTCTGTTCAATGTTCTTCCTGAGACTTTCCCTGCGCGGCTATGCAAATGCAAGGCACGCAATCAGGCACAACGTAAAGGGATGTGGAAAGTAGACACGTAGCATCAGGAACGTGTCTGTGTTGAAATAGGCTCTAAAACCCAAGCCACAGTCCCCAGGAGTCTCCAAGGAAGCCTACCCACTACCTGCCTCTGGGTGGGATGGAGATGCGAGAAATCAAAGATTATTTTCATGAAACGAGTTTGGGTACAAATGTGCCGTGTTGCTGCTGTGGTTCACTGGGTTGAGCATTGTCCTGTGGACTGAGAGGTGCCGGTTCAATTCCCGGTCGGGGCACATGTGCCGTGTTGCAAATGGGTTCACAGGACCACTGGCCGGACGCCCCTCGGAGAGCACGCACTGGGAACAGCACACACAGTTCCCTGGGTATGAAGGGCAAGGGTGACTTTCAGCCACACTGGGCCACCCAGTGCCCCCCAGACAAGAGGATAAACTGTGTCTCTTCCCAGGGACCATAAAATAACAGCCATCTCACAGTTATCTCAGCGGTTAGCAGCTTCTAAGGTTAATACAAACTGTGGTTGACAAGTAAAGTAATAATGTAACACCTTTCACGCGTCTGATGTGCAAGTTCATTAGTTCTAAGGTCAGCATTTTAATGCAACAGCCCAATTTTCTTCACCTCATCAGATGCTATCCTGCCAAAGGCAGCTGTAAAAACCAGCCAGGGGTCTCAGCACTGCCATGACCACTAAAATCACTTCCAGATGCCCCCCAAAAAGCCCTCACACACTTTTGAATGAAATAAAATATACTAACCAAATGCAACAAAAATGTCATGAGGACATGATTACTCCAGAGAGCATTATCCTGAGGTTCTGTGGGAATTTTCACAGCACTTTTGAGAGGGAAGATGCTGATATATTAAGAGGTACATTGCTGGGTCATTTAAATATTGACTTTTTTGAGTCGTCATTGATACATGCTTGACATCTAAAAGACCCTGCTTTAGATCTTGTGGGAAGATGCCTTTAAAGAAGAGAAAGGAAGCTAGATTTGGATGTTTAATCAAATTTAATATGTGTTATTTCACTCACCTGCACACTGAGATGAATCCATTTCTTCACCAGAATTCTCCCCTGTGTCGTTACTTTTATTGGAGGCTGCAAACCATTTACTGTGTGATAGTAAAACACGGTCTCTTTCTCTGAAATGGTGAGTTTGAACACAATCTGCCCATCCACCGTCTTTTCCACGACACACCTTCAGAAGCAACCAGAAGGGACACAAGGTCAGCATCCGACCAAAAGACCCGCTAAGGCATCATCGCACATATAGAGGTGCAGGTAACTCCAAACTCCACTCCAAAGGTGCCCTGGGAATAAATGCCCAAATCTCACCCTGTTCAGAGCGAGGTCTATTTTAGTTCTGAAGTCCTTTTAGTCCAATAAAAAATAGGGTTCTTATTTATAACACATCCCCCAGAATCCTTTATTAGACATTCACAGTGCAGACTCAAGTGGCTGAATCATCCTGCAAAACTAACATTTAGCTGATGGGTTCATTAGTTCCTCTGCTATTTTTTTTTTTTTTTTTTTTTTAATAGGAAGCAGTACAACACATATCCTGGGTATTGAGTCACTAGTGCAAATCTTTCTTTCTTTCTTTCTTTCTTCCTTCCTTCCTTCCTTCCTTCCTTCCTTCCTTCCTTCCTTCCTTCCTTTCTTTCTTTCTTTCTTTCTTTCTTTCTTTCTTTCTTTCTTTCTTTCAATGTAAAGAGAATTTACTGTCCATAGAGCGCTCTAAATGACTGTCCAATTCCGATGGTGAAAAGGAGAATAGGCCACTCTAGTCTTTACCCACCTGCTCATCACTGGCCAGAAGCCAGTGTCTGTAAGATGACTGGCTGGCTGACCCCAGCCACACAGCCCAACTGAGGCACAGAGACCATGTTAATAATCTTAGATGAAGGATCATCTCATTTTGAACAACACAGTGAGATAATATTTTGATAAACAGAATTTAAAAAAATTTCTAGTCTTGAGTCAGGCCAGTTAACAAATCATTATTATTATTATTATTTTAAATATTTTTTCTTTCTTTTTATTTTATTTTATTTTTTCTTTAGAGGGAGGAAGGGAGAAGGAGAGAGCGATAGAACATCGATGAGAGAGAACATCGATTGGCCATCTCCTGCATGCCCCTCACTGCAGATTTGGCCCACAACCTGGGCATGTGCCCTGACCAGGAATCGAACCGGCAACCTCTTGGTGCATGGGTTGATGCTCAACCAGCGAGCCACACAAGCTGGGCTCCAAACATTATTTTTTAAAAATCACTTGTATCCTAATCACAGTGATACTCTTTTCCCATCCCTTTCAATAGGTTTATGGCATTTGTATTATTGTTATTTTCTATAGTAGTTTATGTTCCATATAAATTGTATTCTATATGAACTCTATCAGGTGTATTTCTGGCCAGTCTGTATTCAACGAGCAGAAACAGATATGAACATGAGCCCCCTTCCCCTCAATCATATTTCAAGCTAGTAGCTCAACTTTTCAGCAGAAGATGTTACAGATGCTTGCTGGGAAACTTCTGGGTGGCTCATTCCCCAAATCTGCTGTTTAAAGAGAAACAGCCCCGGCAGTAACCATCAACATCTCCTCAAATGACTAGCTATTAACGAAGATTATCAGCCTGCATCTCACAGACGAGAACTCAGGAAGGTGGTACATCCCCGGGAGAAAAATTCCATCAGAAATTGGAAAAGCCTGGGTCGCTTTCTTTATGCAGTTGCCTCCTACTCGGCCCAGAAATGTCCACAATTGTGCCTGATCCTGGAACTTCCCTCCCCAAGACTGCTGAGGGGTCGTCTGTGCTCATTGAACACACAGTGCTACCTCGCTAATAATACTGATCTGTCTTCCCCTCAGCTCAAGAGTTTTCTGAGAATAGAAGTATAGCCTGGTATATGGTAGACCCTTCAAAAATGATGAGTTAGAGATCAAATAAAGTAGGGAACATCGAAGAGGCCCATGTAGGATCGGGCCAACCAAAAATTATTGCTAGAGATGTTCTAAAACTTTTCTTACATAGCACAAGTCGCACGGATTACTCCTTCTGATTTGTGTTTATTCTTTTCCAGGGTTTGGAGGTAAAAGTAAGATTGGAGAACACTTAGTGGTCCCTATTGTACTGACACTATTTTATAATATTTTGTACAGATATTTGGTGATAAAGTTAAGAGAGCAAGTATATATTTGGGGCAGAGAGGTGAAGTTGACATAAAGGTTTGATATAAAGTAGAAATAAGGCTTTATAGAAATTCTACTACAATTAGTTGAACTGTTCAGCAGGTAGTTATTTCTAAGTCACCGGAATGAAAGAGTTTCGCTTTATTCCCCGCCTCCAGGTCTTAAATCAGCTGAGAAAAAAAAAAAAAATGTGCCTCTCTTATTGTTTCTTGAGTTTCAGCCTACAAGTTAGCATTTGACCATTACTCAAGAATGTATTTACCAAATGCAGGCTTATTTCCCCAAGCTTACTGAAAATGCATTTCTTAATATGTTATTGATTCTCTTCCTTGCTATTTTGTTTGCTTGTAAACACGCTAGCTTCGGTAGATAATGACTACGAGAGGAAGGCAGGTAGCAAAATATTTAGGAACTGGATTTATTCGGCTCCTGGATAAACAATAATTGGATAATCCCTGTTTTGTTTGTTTAACTTATCTAGTGCAAACACCCCGAAATTCCCCCAATTCCCGTAGGCATTTTAGTTTTGAGAATGAAAATGACCTTGATGCATGAAACTCTAAAAACTGCAAACCATGTACGATGGCTTCTATAAATACTCTGTCTTATTTATACAAAAATGATGCCAACGGAAGATGAATTTGGTAGGGACGTATCCTTTGGAAAAAAAAAAAACATTTTGTCTTACCCTTATTTGTCAAGAGGCAGTTTTTTAAAACTAGATTCTGGTCACTTAAACTGAGTAGGCTGGCATTTCAAACAGTAAGAACACAGGGTTTTCTTTTAGGGTGACACGGAAATTGATATGATGGTTTGTGATCATTTTCACTCCCAACTTTTTTCCCCCCAAAATGAAAATATGCCAACGTTCCCTTGGAAAGTCAAAAACTAAACATCCAAGTCATCTAAGTCCTATTTCTTTATGGGATTGTGAGACTTTTCTGCTTTGTTTCATTAAGTGTTGAGCTATTTGGCCAATAATCTCACACAATAAAAACATCACACCGCGTAAAGCCAAACTCCGTGCAGGAAGACAAAAGATAAGAAACAAATGTCTCCAGACTGCCCTGCTCATTCCAATTTCCAGCGGGCTCTAGACACTTAGGGAAAACACATGAGATATCAGTTTTAGAGGCTACTACAGAATAAAAAACATGGCTTATGTAGACTGATTTTTAAAATGAGGATCAGGAAACCACACTCCAAACTGAAGGTGTTTCTTACTGAGCTCCATGACATATAGTTTCTGAGAATCATTCATGCTTCCCCACACATCTCCTGAAAGACAAGAACTCCGCAAGGCAAAGGGCCACACGCTCTACCTGTTCAGGGATGAAGGGTTATTCATGTATTCAACTCATCTCACTGGGCATTTTGATGAGTCAAACAAACATCTCTTTGGAAAAATAAGGATGACTGAAACATTAAGCCCTCATGGAGTTATCTGCCTAATGAAAAGTTTATACTCTAGGAGGGGCAGGCTATTTATACAAACTTCAACCAAAACTGGGAGAAGCGCAATTATGTGGATTACTAGCCCCATGTTGTAAAACTCGCTGAGCCCGAGTCCGCCTCTGACAGCCAAGAGATGGAGCTGAATGGACTTTTGGAAATCCATGGGACAAGTGTCCACATGGCTGCCTGCAAAGAAACATTTCAACCTGCTTTTTGTGAGGGCTCCTTTCCTTGTGCAAAGGAGGAAAACAATTTTAAATTGAGGGGGGAAAAAATGTTTGGAAGGTAAGCCGGAGTAGAAAAAAGGAACACAGGAGCTGGTGGTCAAGTACGTGAATTTCAGCCTCCGCCTTTCTGTCTGGTCTGGAATTCAAGTTGCCTCTTTGCTGCACCTGATTTCCCAGGCTCCTGGGAAAACCTACACTCGCTCCACTACTTACATGACACCTTCCTGCTCGGGTTTCAGCCACACAGCTAAGGTAAAAGCTGCCGCCAGCCTCAGAGGAGGAGGAGAAGAGAAGCAATTCTTGTGATTTCCGAAAAGCAGGCTTGTGGAATTGGGAGGGGAGCCGGGGTGCCGGTCCCACTGGTCCAAGGCGATGCAGCTCCCCAGGCCTGCTGAGAAAAGGGAGGTGTGGCTGGGGGGCGAGGCTCTGTGTGGACAGTCCTGAACGCAGAGCCGCTGGGCGCAGACCTGGAGACTCTCCGCAGCCACAGGGCTGTGACAGAAGGTGCTTCTCTCTGCGAGTCCGCACGTCGCTTGGGCTGGCATGACCGCGACGGTCTTGAGAGCACCCACATTCTCCAGCCGCGGGAACAGGCCCTGTGAGTCAGTCCGGGAGATGAAAGCCACCAAGTAGGCAAAGAGCAACGTTTCAATGCCGCGCAACGAGCAGCCAAGGCTCAGAGGAAGAGCCAGGGGAGTCATGTTGACCAAAATGCATTCTCCTCCTGACAAAGCTCCCCTAAATAAGCAAGAAGGCCACGGCCGCTGGCCAGAAACACCTGAAAGTCGGGCGCTCTAAGGAGATGCTGCATTTTCCAGAAGCGGCAGAACGGGTTGCACACGGAGGGAACACCGAAGACGTCCGGGTGATGGCGAAGACATGGGTAGCACGTGGTGTCTAGGGAGCAAAAACAGAGTGTCAAGTAAAAGCGGTTCCATCATCCAAACATCCCTCCTTCCTAAGAATGAGGCCTTGGGCCCATGACAACAACCGCTATGGAACTTCAGAGAACAACACTGGGAAGGACATCGTCTGGAAGAAACACTCATTGTTTGTGGACCACGTCAAGCACTCTCAAGTCCACAGTCCACCAGGCTTATGTACACACACAGAAATCTAGCTTAATTGATGCATCTCACAGTGAATTCAGATACTTCCTCCACCGCCGAGGTCAAGAACTATACAGGCTTTCTCTGCACACGCACCAGGTGTGGACACAGAGCTAACGTGCACATGTCCAAAATCAAGCTGGCAAAGCACTTTGGGCCTCTCCCCCTTAGCCCAGCGTGTGCAGCAACTTTAATCTCGGAGCAAAGCAGCTTAGACACCCGACACCATCTGTCTGTCCTGCGCCTCGGTCTTTAGCAAACGTTTACGTTCCTGTTTCCTCCTATGGCTACGTATTTGTAGGTTACATATGGACCCCGAATACTGTGTAAGTCATTGTATTGATAAATAAGCTGAGTTACCATTTCTTTATTGCATTTCAACCAGTCCTCTCAGGGTGACAAATGGCTCTTCACAGGACCGCGGTCCCTCGTTGCCTGGCAACACTGCAGTGACCCCTGGTTCCTTCCAGCAAAGAGGCTGCAATCGTATCAAGGCTGCAAGGAAGACCGAGCTGCCCATGAAGGGGTTTCTGCAACAGCAAACCCTTGGTTACCTGAAACAGCGCCGTCAGCCTGGTGGCCGGCCTGGAACTGAGCGCCCCAAGCTTACAGCAGGTGCCTCGGGCAGTGGGAGGGGCCTGAGGGGCCAGGCGTGCATCATTTTAAAGTAGCAGTACACCTTATCCTTTAGTCCCCTTCGCCCCTCCTCTTTCCGCGATCACGCACCCCCAATCCATTTAATCACGTCTTCCAAGGGATCTACCACTGGGAGTCACCCAAGGAATAATGTCCGGGGCACTTTCTCTTTTTCTGGGGTACACATATATGGATACCCTAGAGGCTTGGTCCATGAATGAAAGTTTCTTTGGACTATTCTGTTACTGCCTTCTCTAGTCCAGACACCCCCTTCTAAATACACTCTCCTCTAGATCCCAAGGAGCATCTGAGGTTAGGTAAAGAGGCTACATGGTTGATCAGAGATTTTAATGACATTGTAGAAGCCACGAGATCGAGGCCTTTTTAACAACCTGGTTGGATGTGTGTGTGTATGTGTTTATGTTTGATATCAATTCTATGGAGTTTCCACTGCATCCAAACTCTCTCTTTTCTACTGTCTGGGATCTCTCATCTTAGATGGCGAGTATTCTAAAGCAACTGGCAGTTCTCTCCATTTTTATATTAAAAATAGAAAACACATTTCAGAAAGAAATCCGTCAACTGTGGTTTTGTCTTCTGGAAGTGATCATATTTAGAGACGTTCTTAGAAGTGGCAGAGATGTTTGTATGGTGTTTCTTGATAGCGAGAGAGCTAGAGACAAGCCCAAATAGACTTCTCTCAGGTCTCTCTTTACTGTCTCTCTGTGAGAGGTCTGGAAACCACCACCCTTTTAGGTCAACTTGATCAATTAGCCCAAGATGCTTCCAGCAGAAACCTTCACCACTTGTCAAAACATCCTACTCTCTACTTGCTGATTATTACAATCTTGCATTTTTGAGTTAAAACCAACCTTAAATATAAAACCAACTAATAGGCAATTATATATGTAACATGTAAATTCTCAGAATGTGGAACAATAAGTTTTGACTTATTCTCATAGGACATGAAGGACTATATAGGACTTATAGGACATATAGGACTTATTTTTATAGGACAAGAAGGACTATATAGGACTTATAGGACACATAGGACTTATTTTTATAGGACATGAAGACTTAGACAAATGGATCAGTCAAACCTGCTCCTCAACACAAACCAATGTTTGTCTCCAAACAAGTTACTCAATGGCTGTCTTCTCCTCCTTAGCCCTAGCGAATCCAAGGACTAACGTTAATTTTTAACAGCGCTGTCTTGGTGTATCTTCTGGGTCTCTATTCTGGAGATAAGAATTCTTCTGCCACATAATGACTCACGCTTTGTCATAGGAAGTCATGACTCCAAATAGATGATCTAAGTTTAGGGACTCCACTCTATTTCAGAAACCTGCCTGTAACGTGCAAAGGCAGGTGATGGACTGACACACCCCTCGACTTCTGTGCTCAGTACCTTCCATCCTGAGGACACTTCTGGTAACTGAATTGGGCACCAACAATGCCACTACCCCGATCAGTGCCAGATAAATAAGTGCAGAAAAAAAAAAAAGTAAAAGTGTATAGGAGGAAATTTTAGTTAAACATATGTGGCTTATGCTATTATTTTTTAAAAATATTTTTCATTGCTTTTAGAGAGAGAGAGAGACATCAGTGTGAGAGCGAAACATCTGTTGGATGGCTCCTGCGTGTCCCCCACCAAGGAGCGGGTTCAAACCCTGGGCATGTGTCCTGACCTGGAATCGAACCGGCAACCCCTAGGTGCACAAGATGACACCAAAGCCATTGAGCCACACCAGCCAGGGCTCATGGATTTCTAGGCATTCACTGGGCCGTTCTTCTGGTCCAGGGCAGCTCTGCTGGGCTGGGGCTGGGCAGTCTGACTCGGCCTCCGTCCCTCATTCAACCATTGGATTGACAGTCCTGGGAATCTATTCTAGGACAAATCTAATGGACAAAATCAAGAGCTATCCCCTATTTTTCAGTTCTTAGTCTCCATGGACTTACTATGAAAATGGGCTCACATCTGGACAAAAGCCCAGATTATCAAGGCTGAGCTAAAACTCCTTACCCTACTCTAAACCTGAACCAACCCAAGGCGTCGGGGAAGCGGTGGGGTGTCCCGGTAGGCCTGAGAGCTGACAGTGTTGATGGAGAGAAAGAACCAGCATTTCCAGGGACCGAACACCGAGACCAGTTTGGAAGAAGCTTGCCCTACATACACGGGCCACATTTCCTGCAGAAACACGTAGCAGGTACCATTCAGCCCTCTAAGGTAAGATTCATTTGCATTTTTTTATTCCTGAAAACTTTGGAAGCTTTACCATGGATAATATGATGATAACTTTTCGGAGCCTCCATCGGTGATTTTGATATCGAAGTCCTAGCCAACATCATTCTATTGCCTTGCTCAAAATTCTCGCACCCTGTTCTTCTACTTCTTAAATTATGCAGACTCCCGAGGCTCAGAGCATCGTGTTCGTCTGAGGCATACAACTTCGCACGGGTACTTCGGGGGACATTGGGATACCGGGAGAACGTGACACCGTGGTAAGCATGTGGCAGGTCATCTAATTCCTGTCCGTCCTTTCTCTGGGCTAGAGCCCAGACTCAACCTGGCAGGTACATTCAAGAGGGGCTTTCTCGACCCGAGCCCGGCAGCGAAGTGACAGCTGTGAGGCAGAGCGGGACAGGAGGCGGCAGCCAAGGTCAAGGCTGGCGAGCGGGACGGAGGGCGGGTGTGGGTCTGGAAATGAACACGCCACATGTGCCGAAAGACAGCAGGCAGGCAGCGCGCATCCCCGAGGGTCAGGTTTCCCCAAAGAGCTGTGTCCCCGGAACGACGTGGGCCCCTTCCACAAAGCAGGAACCCCTCCGCGGGCCTGAGACACAGGGGGTGTGCTTTCTAGTGTGTTAGAGAAAAAAAGGGCACTTACGACAGCAGGGTTCCGGGGGTGGACGGTGCGCTAAGTAGGCACCGTTGTTCTCAGAAACTCAATCCAGTCGAATAACACCTAAGACAGTCCCACCGCAGGGAAAACAATGCTGCATTTAGAGAGACCCGGAGGATGTAAACATCATGCTGCCGAGAAACAGTTTGCTTAGGAGGAAAAGTGAACTGCCTTTGAGAGGGTGTTTCTCAATCGCAGGAAAACACGGAATATGCAATATCAGTAGCCTGTCATTCTCGGGAAGGTCTCTAATTCTCCATGTAATTTATTTATGTGGTGTATTAATATGATTTTGGGGTTCAAGAGCCAAAGGCTTCATGAAGGGAAGAGCAAGAATTGGAAAAAAAAAAGAAAATGATTAGGGTAATAAAATCCGAGCAGAACACATTTGCAGAACAGCTTCTAAGACATGTGGACACAGGACCGTTGTCAGTGTAACTAAAGCAGTTCGAGAAATAAGACGTTTTACTTGGGGATCGCACGTGAGGGAGGGACGGGGGGCCCAGTTCCGACGGGACAAGCTACTGGCTGTGCTCCGAGCAGCACCCAGGTGTCCCGTCGGTGACATGGGTGGACTGTCCACCTCAGTCCACACTCAGCAGGGAAACCGAGGCCTTCGTGAGAAGGGGGTGAAGCAACCTGTGCTTGTGAGGTGTCCTCTGACATCGCCCAGATGCGGGGACCCCTGTCCACCGAGTGCACGCGTGTGTCAGGCTTCATGTGGAAAACGCGATCTCCTCGAACCCGAGTACAGACCCCACATAGTAACGAAGGTGGCCACTGTCTCAGAGACCAGGATGCCGAGCCCTGGATATGAAATAATTTCTTAAAGTTCGGCAGTTAATATTTAGGAACAAAAACAGGATTCGAATCTAGCTCCATCGAAATCTCTACCACAATGCCAGAGTAACCCTAAAAGCAATAATCTCAGAGACATTCTAGGGCTCGACATGTCCCTATAATCTAGACGTATCCCTTGAAGTGCTTTAGGTACTAGTACACGCCGACAGGTCCACCTGGCCCTCGGCTACGCTAACTGATGAATGGATCCTAAGGACACTCTAGACCGTAAAAATTGGCCTTTTGCTTTAAGAAATAAAAGATTTTTCCCAGTTGGTGGGGCACAGTGGTTGAGCATTGACCCCTGCACCAAGAGGTCACCGGTTTGATTCCTGCTCGGGGCACATGCCCAGGTTGTGGGCCTGATCCCCAGAGGGGGCCGAGCAGGAGGCGGTCAACTGATGTTCACGCTCATCAATGTTTCTATCTCTCTCTCCCTCTCCTTTGGAAAAAAGAAAATGACTGAAACATGGAGGAATTAGGCACAGTCTGGAGTGAGCACTTGGTAAGATGGAAGTTACTGGCAGTAAGGGAACCCCTCCCAGGTAGAGGCAAATGAA